CGGATGGTTGCCGCTTGACCATGCGTCTTCCTTCATGGGTCCGTGATTTTGATGATACTGTTTACTCATTCCTTGGTAATATTATTATCAAGTAGGCTTCTAAGTCCAGCAGAAGTTCACGATTGATACGATAGAAAACGACGAAGATACGACGCGAACTCAATTTTCGGAGAAAAATTACTGTTGGAGTTAGAGTAGTTAGTAGAATACAAATTTAGAATACAAATTGATATGGTATTATTATCATGTACTATCTCAACATGTATATACCACGTAGGTGACGCAAACGTGGACAAACGGAAATCTGTCATCGAATAAACATTTTAATAAACATTTTAATCACAGCAAAATTGCTTATTAGTCCTGTTTATATAACGTGTTGTAGTCCATTAGTCAAGAGAAAAGAAGACCCCTTGTACGCGCGGGACTATCATCCAGTCCCACCTTCCGAGTCTGCAACATAATGTGTAGCTCATGAAGACCTTCAATCAATTTCTATATTAATATATCGATATTAATATACGGGAACTAAAATTTGATTTGCAAATTCGAGGTAAATGACATGTAGTACATAATTCAGAATAGAGTTATCGATTATTTGTTAAAGTGGAACTACCTTGTTGTATATGCAGTCTCGCTTGTAATTAGATATAATTAATTAATTTATTTAAGCAATATAGAATGTAAACATAGATTTTATATATATCATGGGCAATGCTGTGTGGCCTGGCGAGAGTTCAATTGAAATTATTACACGATCTATTATATACTCAACGCCGCCATTGTTGAACACTTAATCCACCAATACGTTATCAATCTTATAAATCACTCCATTCACGCCTTCAATTTTCCCTACTACTTTCGCTCTTCCGTCAATGACAATAACTCCGTCCACGTGTTCTACTCGGACAACCTTCTTCCCTCTTTCAGTGTCTGAAAATATCCATCTTCGGATGCGACAGTTTTCGTTGCCATGAACTAACCAATCAATTATGTAGATAATTATCGGACGTCAGAAGAGTAGCTAATTAGTAGTTAGTCAAATTAATGTCGTTTTATCATGTATTAATTTAAACATTTACATACAAATATATAAAAGTGGTGTCTGAAACAAAAAATATTTATATGAATAAAGTGTTATCTTCTTGTAAAGGAAATAAACAAACTCTGCTTGTTAATCTTGTATGCTATTTACTTTATGATACATACGAAATGCACGTAAATGTTCTTAAATTATTTGTTGTATCTATCGTCTTATACCGAAATCCCCAGTATGACGAATTTTTATTAGTTGTGTAATTATGTTATGTCACACATAATTGGCTTTACACGAAGGCCACCAAACCAGGAGCCTTCGCCTTGCGACAAACCCATTTCGTTGCTTCATTGTCTCCAACACCAGCTAACAGATTATTTTGTAGTTTCGTGATTGACTCCGGCGTATTAGGCCTGTGGAAGAAGGAACACAGCATCGACTCTTTAAGTTTATTTTTAAGAAGTTCATATTTAATGAACCCCTTTTGGAGCACAAGAACGATGGTCCACAGAGCATGGCCTACTTGACATACCGTCACTGTCTTTTCCAATTTTTCCAGGTTGTTAACGTTGCCAAAGTTGATGGTAAGGGTGATACGAAGAATAATGACATCGATGCTGCCCGTCATTGCATTATACGAATCGGACTAATGTCAGAAAAAAGCTGAATCTCTACTACGATTTGAAAATAACTGGTTTTAGTTACTATTACATTTATCTCGTAAAGCTTAATTTGGTAGTTATTGTTATAGTGTAAATGACGTGATCGAAATAAGTGTGATTGAAATTAGCAAAATAAAAATTCTGCTAAATAATACACGTATACACTAAATTACCGGACTTTTTGTCAATTATTATTATTATATAGTAAAACATATTAATATGAAATTATTATTTTTTTCAAAGAGTTTATTATACGTACAGTATCTATTATATGAGTCACCACGACTTTTGTACCGATTTGAAGATAATTGGTTGAGAGGTTGTGGTGATTCAGTACAATTTTACAAATAACCTTGGCTATGCCACTACTGCTTTCTTACTGCGTATTTTACATTAGCCTTTGTAAATAAAATCAATTTACAATACTAACATGTTTAATTTAATGGCTCAACTCTTAAATAAATTTGTAATCAGAATTCAAGTCAGGTCCAGTCCATTGAGCAAAGCTGGTATTAGTAGTAGTAATATTAAAAGTCATTACAGTATAAAGGTATTTTCCTAAGCGCTTGAGTTATAATGTGGATTTGATTGTGAGTTTTAAATTATGGCGAATACCGGCGGTAAGTGTGATTAACAGTACGAGCTCGCAAGCATTTTCGAATGATTTGTTGTTTGCTTTTTTTACAGTTTGATTTTTTAAGACGAAATATTAAGTGAAGGAAGAGTGTTATTTTTGTAACAAGCTCATCATCAGTTGATGTGTCGATCAAACAGTCTTTGCATAACACTTTCCTGAATCACGAGAATAAATTTCTCGAAGCAACTTTACGTCGCAGAGTCAATGCTAGTGCGATCTTGAAGCTCTTCATTGTTTACGATCAGCAGTGGAGTTTAGCTATCATTTAAGTGAATTTGGTTAACCTCCTAACCTTTGTATTTGTGACTAAGACAAAAAACAATTTCCCAAAAGGACTACTAAAACTAGTGAACTTGGATTCAACAAACAATGGATCTCTACTTCCTTACAGGCTTGGAAGCAAAAATTCACGGCTTGAAAAAATCAGGTAGCAGAAATACGACAGCAACAAACCAATCGACCCAATAGTTTCTTATGTCTACGAATCATTATTATTAATACAAGTGACAACAATTGACATCGTCATTATACTTGAAAGTGATTTCTATGTTAATTCTATAATAAATATTAGTTGATATACATTTTTTCATCTTTTTTTGTCAGCAATGATATGTTCTTGATTGACGTTCTCGATAGTGTCCATCTCACTTAATGAGGATCGCCTTATAGAAGTCGTCTGATCCCTAGAGACTAGTAAGCCAATTGGCACGCAATCATCTTCATCCGCAGTCTCGTGCTCCATATGAGCATTATATAAAAAGTTATTAGTTCCTACCTCATCTGCTTGTATTCTATTTCCATTACTTGTGCCAACACCAACATCTCTATTGTTTCCTTCCCCTTCTTCGAAAAAGTTCGCGTCGTCAGAAATATCTTCGTCGGAACGTTCACTACCACTTGAATACAATGTACTTCCATCCGAGTTATGATAAGGGTCAGATGTTTCTTCAAGTCGTCTTTCTAGAATATCTTCAACCCACATCTGACGTTCTTCTAAAGATATGTCCCTTACTACGTATCCTTCACTGTCTCTTCTAACGATCTGTCTTCTTCTATTATGAGAAGAGCGATGATTAGGATTACGATTATAGTCCTTCATGTGCCATGGTTTTGGTGGTAGTGAAGCTGGTGACGGTATTGTCGGATCCTTGGGAGGCCATATTAAGTCCGAATCTGTTCAAGGAAGAATGTAATATAAGACCAAGTACGTTCTCATTTCTCATTATATAATTCGAAGATAATTCTCATCATCAGTCCGTACGTTCAAGACGCGTATATCCACTCGTGAAGATTAATATTTCCAACTTCCAACACGCAGATACCCATTCTCAATACAGTTGATTTTTGTTATACTATATAGTCCATTTCCAGGTCGGATCCAATCGTACCTGCATCTTTTGCGATTGAATAATCTATCCCATTACCGGACATGTGTTGTGGCCAGCACCATAATAGGACATTTCTACCAAGCACTGATTGGAAGTTGGCAAAGCATCCGAGATCGTAGGGGAATTTTACCTATTTGAATCGAGAAACATGCACGAAACTGTTAGCATTGAAGACCAATTATCTATTTCTAATTGAAACAAAGTTAGCTTATTTTTGTAGACTTGCAGCATGCGATGGCTTCAGCGTCATGTACTAATCTCGCATTCACTGATCAAGTATTACCTTTTTAATTTTTCCCCTTCGAATCATTGTCGCAACTTTGTCTTTTTCCCACGTCTCTATCGTCGTTGTGTTTGAACACAGACAATAAAAGTGACAGCAGCTCAATACCCCTACAGAGAATATTACTGGTATTACTGCTACGACATTTAAGACAAGGAAAACCACCACTACCGGAGATGGGTCATCGTTTGACTATTAGTTGAAAAATAGCAAGTTAACAATCGCTGGTCATATTAACACGCTCACCAGCCCATGCTTACATAAGTGACGTCGTTCACCATCCAGTAAGTCCTCTGCATACATAACGCAAAGTGATAGATACAAGTGACATCAACCCAAAAAATAAAACGAAGAAAGTGACCGTAATTATAATATCCGACACAGTTATTAGTCCATGGACCTAGTAAGAGAACCCTTATTGTCAATAGTTACGCGTATATAACCAATAAATTTCTTGTAGCGTTGGCAAAACTTACAGTGATGATCCATCTTCAACACACATCTAATTAAAGAGAACTAATGAGTCAAGGCATGCAATACAACGAATTCAAAGACTAATATTAATCTTTTAAATGATAACCTCTGACATGTCTTGCAATGGTGAGCCCTAGGCGGTTTGTAACACTGGCAAGTTTTGCAATATCTTGGTGTGCGTATAGACTTTTTCACTTCCACGTCCTCAGACATATTAGGGCGCTGTAAGGAGAAATTATTCAATTTTCCGCTGACTCGACATTACTTGACTCTCTAAACAAGTACGTACCCAATCATTTGGCACTTTTCCGGGATCTGTTGTGCAAGTAAGGTAATAATTATATGCCAACAGCAACACAAAGATATTAAAGGGTCCGAGAACTAACAAAGTCTGTACATTTAGTCCCCCCAGATATTCCCAAAAGATAAAATATTGACTTGAATAAGAAAGGAAGGATATTAGAATAGTAACGCCGATGACGAAGAAACGGCCAGTGTCCATGTTTTGTAAGTAAAAGAAGACGTTTGCCCAAGTAGTAGAACTAAATGAATAATATGATCGACGGTATGCATATAAATTGCACGCACAACATATACAATTTCCGAAAAACGTGGCACTGTGATATAGATATAATTCTCCATTATTTTCTTCTCATTCGCTTCCACACATACTGCAATTTATTTTGTTACGTAATCACTGCCATTCAACACCGAAAGCACTTCTAATCTCACCAACAACCCGCCCAACTCCAACTCCAACGGCAATTACAACAACTACTAAATCGCTTACAACTAATGACAACCCGCCTAACATGAATCTCGGAGCGAATATCTTCCATACCATTAGATGTCTTCTGAACCATGCAGCAAAAAAACTTGCACTCAAAGTCAGTATGGAATTATACAACATGTAATATAATACTATTTTCATCACGTTCTGGTACATAGGAACTTCTCTTTTTGGCGGTAAATTCCATAAAGCGGCAAGAGGAACGGCTGCAGAAAATAGAATTTGACTACCGAAAGTGTTCAAAGTGATTAGGATGGGTGATATTATATAGGATGTCTCTGTTATTCCGATGAATCCTGTCGACCATTGAATGGATGAAATCGTTGATTGGTGACCCGTAGTAAAGAAGTAGAACATCGACATGAGAGTGAACATTGCTGCTGATAGTAAATGACCACTCTGCTCTCGCATATGAGGAGGAAGACTGAATGAAGGATAGTCAACATTATCGCTGCCGGCAGCGATCTTATCATTCTCATTTTTCTGATCATCGTTCATTTCATCGGCTTCATCCCTCTGTAGTCTTTTGACCTCTTTTACCAATTCATCAGCATCTCTGCGCAAATCTAAAATCTCCAGCAACAGCAACATCTGTATGATGCTAATCGATGTCATAATCCCTCCCATTGGCTTTTGTACAATGACGACCAACAAGTACAACGTACTCACAAACACAAAGTATGATGATCCAAGAGCGTTGCCGAATCCCAGTATTAAAACAGGTGTCTTCCCTTGCTTTGAATTATCGGCAGTACCTTTTTTTACGTTATTCTTTACATTGTTTTGTTTCCGTTTTATCTCTTGCTTTGATTGATTGACTCCACTACTTTCTCCTAGTGCTTGATCGACAGTCTTCAAATCCAGACACAGGGGTGCTTTCCACCACATTGTATTGCCAACCACCACAGATAGACCAAACGCCATTCGTACTATGAAATTCTTCAACCACTTACTCCCTTGATATTCAATTGGATTAATTTCAATAGACTTATTCTTTAATGTATTATTAGTATTTTCTCCATCATCCATGATCCAATAAGCCGCAGAGAGCACCAATCCAGCACGTAATCCCCATCCTATCCATAAGGGTGCTATTCCACCGTAGGATTTTGATAAATTTAACAGCCACTTTATGATTTCTGGTATCAAAGGAGCCAATGCAATAAGGACTGTAAGAGTAGATGGTGAGGAAATTGAGTTTGCAGATGATGCATAAAATGTCTGAGTGCAACCTGGCATCTGCTCTTCTCTACATATAGTAGAGTAATGTGATATTCTAGCAAGCAGCACGAACAACGAAGCGAAAATCATCAATCTTTTCCTAACCGAATCCACTGGAACGCGGAACGATTGGATAATTGTAACAAGGCCGAACGTCTGCAGTAGGAAAAGCATTATACTGTCCTCATGGATAGTAAAGCTATTTGACGCGAATGATAAAGTATGTAATAAGAGGAATATAAATGCAATAAAGTTATCTCTTGTCATCATATTCCGCATCAGATCATTTATCCTTATCCGAACGATCAATGTCATAACATAACCAAGAATTGAGCCTCCACACATGGATAGTATCATCATGTCCAATTTACTGAAATCAGAATCCTCCAACCATCGCCATAGCAAGGTCTTGATCACCCCTATCCTAACGAGCAGAATGCCAATTGCCCCGCCAGCAATTATGTTCTTCATCACTTTCTCATTGTGTAGTGTGATGGTCTTGTATTGTGACATTCCCAATATAGATAATAGTACAACTCCACAGCTGCTGAATAATATAACCAATCCAGCTACCATTAACGGATAGTCAAACTGTGCCCATATGTGTCGACAAGTCTGCAAAGTTGTTCTAAGAAACTGCATGTAAAGCCCTAGTGTTTTTCTGTAAGAATTTATATCTATAACTGATTCTTTTTCTTTTTTCTGTATCAGCCCAAGATATTCAGATTCAGCATCATCAAACAGATGTCGAAATTTCTCCATTCCTGTTGTAGATAGTTCCGCATGTGGTTGTTGCAACGAATATTCATTTGCATATTGATATATTTGCTGGGCATTTAATCTGACAGCACTGAGAAGACTCTCATATTTCTTTTCAACGTCTTCTCCGATAAAGAAAAATTCTGGGATTATAGCTCCAAGATTATTAAACGGTATTGGTAGTCCTATTAGCAATGCAAGACTTGGTACAAGATCAATCTGAGGTATGCTCCTCCATTTGCCATACTTTGTAGTATATAATCTCACTCCTCTTGTCATGTCATAATCCTCATCTAACTGTATAATGTCTTCTATTTCATTCTGATATAATTGCTTCTTGCTATAAACAAACAACGACGATTCTACTTCATTGTCACTGTCACCTCCATGATCACCTTTGCTATCCATTCCATGATCTCCCATAACCAGCAAAAGCGTTTCATCATCAATACCCTTGACCACATCATGCAACACATTGTTCATCACTTGCAACTTGTCCGCCATTGCCGGGTGATCAGGCCCAAATCTGTGTCCACAGTGATCCACTCCCAGAAAATGTGCTATTATTACGTCCCATTTGTTCTCTCCCTTTATGGTTGGTAACAAGTGTTCGATTACTCCATTGTCAACAGTATACAAATCCCACACGTTAAAGCTCGGATATGGCCATGACATATTCTCGCGGAATTGCGTGGGAAACAAAGATGTCCAGGTATCGTCACCCATAAATGCAATGGATTTGTTCAATTGCTTTAGTTGATCGATGAGGTTATCTTCTGTTATAGCAGATCCCGCAAAATTCCTTCCAGCATCGATGAATGTTGGTAATGTTCCGGTTGTAAGACCTTTCAGTCTCTGTAGAGTGGTAGTTGGTGGATCCGCGATATATTGAAAAAGCAACGCATTCGATGGTTGATCGGTTAATAGTTTGTGTATATAAGTTAACTTGTTTGTATAGTATGGTGAAAGTGAGGCATCGCTCCCATTCAGTGGAACGACGAAATCGAATCTCAATGCATCAATCACTATTATTACAGCTTTCTTGTATCGAGGTTCGATCCAACAAGACCCACCATTTTCAGCTTGAACAATATTTTGGTCTCGCGACAAGGGATATTGCGCACAGCTACTACGGTCCTCTAAAACAAGTCTAGCGAGTAAAAACCCCCTTGTAAATAAATAGAGTCCTCCAACGTGAAGAATAACTATCCAGAAACAGAAAGAGACTAGTATTATATGTGATCTAGTAAACGAGTCATGTGGCTTTATTGGAGGTGGCGTGGAATGATTTTTCTTAACCATGATGAAAGGAAATCCGAGAGCACCAATTTCAGATTTTGGGGGTTTCAAATTAAAGATTCCGATTTGGTAAGTGTTGCAGAAACTCCTTCCTCATTCCGCAGAACGTAATTCACGGGCGTGAGAAAGATTGATTATCCAATTATATTTTAGTTTATCCAATTACATTTCAAATAGAATTTAGTCGAACTTCTGCCACGCGCAAAAATACTTACGGCATACACACGAAATTCTTGATACTAAACTGTTTTAATATTAAATAGGACGGAATTTTTGGTAAAGTCTTCCTTTCAATAACACCCAAACAGGACGTCAGTATTTATAACAAACAAGATGATAAACTGGTTCTTTTTCGATAGCGAGCTTGGGAAATCGAATTATCATGACAGCCTCTTTGTCACCAGTCAGAAATAGAGTTGACATTTTTTGTCAAAGCCAGATCTGGCATACATTCACAGTGTTAGTTTGTACGGACTTATTCTTGGTTGCGTAATCGCTACATTCTTAAGTTGACGTTCATGGTAATTGTCTTGCGTTATGGCAAGTTTTTGCCCCAGTCTTCTCGCATCTGCTGTGTCTCCCAATAATCCATCTGCTTTTATCCTTAGACATCGCAGATGACAATTTCTCCAGAATTTCAGGATGCCGGTGGAAACATCACCTATATTCTTCAATTGGACTATTTCATTGAATCAAGTCATAATTCCTCTATTGTACCAAGTCTTAGTGTTATTAATTTTTCCATAACAAGGCTGGCTAATATTATTAAGCAAAGATTACTGTTAGAGGACAACAGACTAATTCACAATAATTCGTGTACAGAACCGGAATAAGTATATCATAAGTTTTTCGGTTATTATTATTATTACTATTACGACACCTAAACTCGTGGTCACACAATGTTACACGTGTATATAGGAACACACACCTACATTCTCAAAATATTTTTAAATCTATAAATGTATATTCCAAGACGAACACTTTATCATTCCACTCTTCGTCTTGCAACTCACCCGTCATGTTCCGTCCGCCTATTGACAACGACTGCCAAACAACCACCCTCCTTTTCGACAAAAACGCGCAACTTTGTTCTTGGTACAGCTAGCATTTTTGCGACCGTGCTTTTTCTCGATTACTACTTTGACTCTCGAGCTGCGATCCACAAATACCTTTTAATGCCGGTTCTACGAGGAGTCCTCGATGCGGAAGACGCACATCGATTGGCAATATGGTCGGCCAAATGGGGATTGAGCGCAAGTGATCGAGTAAAGGATGATGAGAGATTAGCTGTGGAAGTGTGGGGAAGAAAAATGGCGAATCCGGTGGGATTGGCTGCTGGTTTTGATAAGCATGGTGAAGCGATTGATGGATTATTTGATATAGGTTTTGGTTATGTCGAGATTGGAAGTGTCACACCAAAACCACAGGTAAGACAATCTTTCTCACATGAACTTTTTATTATGCTAACCGAATTGTGAAAAAGGCGTGAGCGCGTATCGGCAGTATTCGCCCATTGTTGCTGTTTTGCTTTTTTTCTACAACAATCATTTTTTTACATGTTCTTGTCTATTTTATCAGCCTGGTAATCCGAAACCACGCGTTTTTCGCCTACCCCAAGATAGAGCATTAATAAATCGTTACGGATTTCCATCTGATGGCCACCGGACTGTCGCTCTACGTCTCCGCGAGCGTATACGTCGATATATCTACGGCACTCTATCACATCACCCCAAAGAGACTGCTCGATTACTTGCATCTTCTCCCGATGGCTTTGGTACTCTCGTTGATGCCATCGGCGTCAACAGAAGTTTGTATGGGAGTAAGTTGCTGGGCATCAATCTGGGGAAGAATAAATCTAGTGACGTCGAATCGGTAGAAGATTATGTAAAAGGCGTTAAAGAGTTGGGGGATTATGCTGACGTTCTTGTGATTAATGTGAGCAGCCCAAATACGCCTGGGTTACGGAGTTTGCAAAAGAGAGAGAAACTGGAAAAATTATTGAGAGAGGTGAGTTTGTAGGTGTTGATACTGAGGAGCATTTGAATGATATTTCTGATTGACAAAACGGCAATTGAACAAACCGGCGAGAAACTTTCTATCTTTGGAACATTATCGCTCACTGGGTTTTGGTGTCTCTATAGGTCATAAGAGCACGAAATACTCTTAGCAAACCACAACCGCCGTTGCTGGTTAAAATATCACCTGATTTATCAGATGAAGAGCTTGATGACATTTCCGATGTAGCAGTCGCTACTGGCGTAGACGGTATCATTATTTCAAACACGACTATTTCTAGAGCAGACACTCTCTTCAGTGGCAAGTATATACATATGAGAATCAATATGGATGAGTTGCATTTTTACCTTTCAGCATTCTCACAAAATTAATCTCTTTGTTTTTGCACTCTGACTGCATTGATCAATATCCACATCATTAGATCCTAATACAATATCAGAAACGGGCGGGTTATCCGGTCCTCCCCTCAAATCACTCGCTCTTCGTAGTCTTCAACATGTTTACCAACGTACTGGTAATCGTCTGCCCCTAATAGGATGTGGGGGCATTACAAATGGCAAAGATGCCGTTGATTATGCTCGTGCAGGAGCCACTCTAATACAACTATACACTAGCTTTGCATACGATGGATTTGGCAAGGCGAGACAAATTAAGGATGAAATTTTGAGAGAGCTGGATGGAAGGAAGTGGAGTGAAGTTATCGGAGAGGAACTTAAGGTGAAATGAAGTGGGAAGTAAAAAAGAAAACAGTTTGTGCGATAAGCATAGATAAAATTAAAAGTAGCGTAATTTTGTTTTATTTAGAGAACATTTATGAACTGTCTGTACAGTATAGACTTCAGTCATAAAATATTTGCCAGCCGCTGATGTCGAGCTGGACTGAATTACAAATATTCTATACGTAATTATCGTTTATTTTGTCCTTTATTACGTCCTCCCTCCAGCCACGTCCAATGATCAACTACGCATAACATGTTAACCAAAATATAAAAAAGAGAATTCTGTGGAAGGCGAACAAGAGCTAATATACTAACCACTTTATTACCATCCGAGGGATTTCAACGTGGGCGTTGTTTTAAAATAGACTTTCCATTATTAGGGGTGAACGTTTGTGTAAACAGTTATATATTATAATATAGGATCTATGAAAAAGTAATCTAGTCGGCGATATTCCAAGAACTCAACCATTTCCTCCCCAACATCTCGCTCGAGGGATAATCCATTCCAAAAGCAATGTCTTTAAAATATAAGAAAACTATTGTAATTAAAAAATAAAATGTTCCAAATATTGCATTGCGCACTTTTGCGTTCGCGATTTTACTCGTCAAGTGGTCAGTTAGAAATCCAACCATTAAAATTGAGAAATATAACGCAGGGAAATAGTGATGAATGTAAGTCACCCGCCCTATAAGGCAGAATGGGACATAGTGGAGCAACCATCCTAATCCTGCTATCTTGCCAACATAAAGAAAGTGATTCCATTGGCCTAGAGACAAAAATAAAACAAAGGCACCGTTAAAGAAACAATAATAGCAAAACGTTGTCATTTACAATGCAATACTTACGAACGTGGTAGTGTCTTTTTCTTCTAACCATATAAAATAACAACATAACCGCATATAATGCTAAGGATGCTGTTCCTGACCACCAGACTATAGGATTTCCCAGCAAATAAAACTTGATGGCATCGTCAGCCCAACCACACATTCTCAATCCAACTGTAAGCAATGGCCATTGATCTGGAGTTGACGCGAGAATGTCTTCCTTGTCACGATCGGGAATCAAAGCATTGTTTGACGTATACATTGCAACATTCAAATGCCAAAAGTCATACAAAAACTTTGATCTGTAATTGGCTGCAGGAGCAGCAGGTACTATAGAGAAGAAATAAATGAGTATTTGGTTCACGTAGAATACAAAGCAAAAAGTGGAATTACAAGATTATTCCATACGTTTATCATTCCAATGCCGCTCAATGTTCCAATGAGTATGAGGATCTTCTATGTTATTCCTTTTGTCACAAGTGACTTCAATCTGCTTAAAGCCCCACTGAGGTAAAACAGTGTTAGCAGCACGTAAATAGCAACCGAGAACTTTATGCCGTAATCGAAATCGAGTTGTCAATGACCGTATTCGTTCGACATGCTTCTCGTTCAAGTCGTCTACTATCTCTACGATCCAATAATCATGATGATCTCCAACTGTATCGTTCCCATAACAACTGACTTCCCATTGAGATTTAGTAACTGGTGCTTTAATTGGATGGCTGTGAAGGTTTGCTCCTGTCGGACCATGTAATAATCGAATAGCATCACCATTGTTGACAAAATCTACTTCTATTTCTGATTCTGACATTGGTGATTCTCGCGGTTTTTTAACGAGCCATTCATTATTAGAATCTTTGTGGTGATAGCAAGTGACTTGTTGCTGTGATGATCCAATTCCCTGCGGATACGTCTGGACATGCGAATGAAGAAGTCCTCCGCCGTATCCCATATTCTTTATGGTCACTTTCGATCCATATGCCACTTCTACAAAAATTTAAACATGTCATTATTAATATTTTCAAAGCGCGCGTTTTTTACCAACGTTAATTGTACGTACCCAATGGATTGCTATGAAAATCGTTTCCCTCCAGACCCGCTTGAAATAATGAACTCATCTGTGCATCACCAGGTCCGCTGTGGTTCAAAATTGCGAAATGAATTACAAAGCAAAGCATGTATACTGCCACTGGAAGGACGATCAGACACACGATACGAGCAATCCAATGTTTTAAATAAACCGGCTACGTGGGCTCATCGAGAGAAGATAGTCGACTGGTTAGAATAAACGTTGAATCGATAACGGCAATCCTGTATCAAACTAATTTCGATTTCGATTTACCTTTGGCATGTGGAAGTCTCCAAACTTATCCCATAGATCTTCAATAGTATATAAACCGACTAATGCTGTGACAAGAAGGCCAACCCATTTGACGCTATACGATTGAGTGACAAAAAGATCAGTAATAGCTTTTTGATATTTAACGTTGAGCATTTGGGTTACTTACCTTGATACACATCCGATCGAAATTCCAGTTAAAGTAAGCCATAACCACCAGTCCAAAGAAAATGACCTAATAATTATGTTAATTAGCAGAAACTCGCAATCATAAAACACATTTACGATACCCATTAAAAATACTCACTCATTACGCTGATTATGGAACTTTGTCAAGCAGAATACCGAAGTTAGAGTAAAGAATAACAGCATGGAATCCAAAAGAATAAATCTACTTATGCATAGGTAAGCGGTGTCTGCAAAATTAGATTGAGTTTCGTAAATATAGTATATAATCATTAAAACAAACTTGTACAATTGATAAAATTAATGTATCACCTAATAGAACCATCAAAGTCACAAGAACAGTGGCCTGCATCGAAAATGCCAACTCTTTTGCAGTGTAGTAGGTCAGGGGCACCATCCATGCTCCAAACGAAGCACAAAACAATCGCATAAATCCGTAGTTCACAGAATCAGGATAAGCCTCGCCAGAATTGAAGCTGAATCGACCATCGTAACCAGCCAATATACCAGCCAAGCCAACCAGCATTTTCCCAAGCGGTGGATGGACATCAAAGTAGAACTCACGTTTGATATAGTAGGAGCCAAACTGTGTTCACGATAATGACAAGGCATGAGATAGCGACTAAAGTAGATATGATAACATGTCAATTAAGTTACCTTTCCAAAATGCGCCTGGGAAAACGGGATGATTTAGACCATATTAACGTCAGCGTTAAATAAATATATATATAAAGACAGCCAAACAATGTATTGATTATTATTTATACCTCATCCCACACAACAAAATTTGCGTAAGATATTAAATAAAATCGCGTCCAAAACGATATTAGAGTTAATGCAATAGGAATAATATCGTCATGGTACTCTTTCAAAATTGCTAGAGCTTCATCCCGGTATTCTTTTGGTAAACCTAACCACTACAACAAACGAGCGGTACACGGTCAAATTACAGAGCTGAACGGTTCTGCAAAAGTCATTTATAATCAATGTCAATACCTTGTTGCCGGACTGTTGCCGCGTCGGTTTGTAAAGTTTATCGTCACTATACTCAGGTTCCAGAGATCCTTGGTAGTCAGGCATCCCAGGATGCCTGCGTTTTAAGGTATCCATATTGGTGATTTATGCAAGCGAAACTTTGAGAATGGTACCATTTAATATAGCAAGTGTAACATGTGTAACATGGCTGTCATGATCGGCACATATCACATCTATCGATATATTCGGTTGAACAATAAAACGCGACCAATGGGAAGTAATGTCTATTATTCGCAAACAAATGTTGAGTTATACGAAGACAATTGGCTTTCGTAGCTGCAGCTATTCCAAATTATATGAATACGAATGGTATCTATTGTTATTGAAATCGGTGTTTATTCAATCAAGCATGAATCATACATTAAAGAATGTCCCGTGATTACTAGTATAGGCAGAGTTCTGAGCACTATTGGATTGATTATTATACTATCGCTATTATTATAAGCCAAACGCGCAACTGCACCAACGTTTAAATCATATCCTATAATTCGGCTTGGAGTAAAGTCTTTACATTTCATGCTAATTGAGACAATGGACCGTTGCTCATCCGCCTCTTCGTGTGAATGTCTAAAAGCCGATTAATAAATTAATTGTTGTTTGCAGATATTTAACATAGTTTATTAATACAGTGTTATGTTTAAAATGTGAGCCCTCTATACGTCTATCACATTTGAAACTGAACCACATACCACTTGGGTCTCAACAAAGACAATCCTTTTGAAGATTTGTTAGCCTAGCTCAGCAGTCTATCAACATACGATCCTCGCTTCGTACACATTCTTTCCTTGTCCGTACACGATTTCTTATGTGTCAGCATCGGCAAAAATTTCTTCGAAATTGGGTGTATGGTCAACAGTATCGACAAACTGTTGCCTGAACATTTCGCGATATTCCATTACTTGGTTAGTCATCTTGCGCAGTTGAGCTTCCGTGTCATGAAGTCGTTGTTCAGTTATTCTCAGATGATTTAGCAGTTCGTGTTCTAACGGCGTCGTAGGATTAAATTCTAAAAAATCCGGATACGCTTATACCGTTATATAGGGTCTAGCAGCTGTACAAAACTGGATAGCTATTGAAGCATTGTTTACCTTTTAATCTGGTTGTTGAAGAGTCATTGATCGTGTTGATGTTTTCATTCGGGTCATCATCGTCAGAAAAGTCGTCGTTTTCTGTACTCTCAAATACTGAATCAAGTTTACCGGAAATTATCAGTTGGTGATATCGCGAGAGCAGAATAACATTTGCCCATTCTTACCATATAATAATGGGTCATCATCTAATATTGGTTTAAGATATTTGTCATTATCCAAAAACGTGGTTGACTCGCTAATCGAAAAGGACCTACAATTGGCCAGTTTGTGGTTGTCCAACACCTTGTACAAGATCAAAAGTCAAATTTAATATCACATATGCTGTACGTTATATTGGACTTTGCTTTTCTCTTGTATCCGACGTTATTGTTGCTTGTAGCAACTGTTAAAAAGATATATACACTGTTTCCATCAGGGATCGAATTACCTGTTGCCGTATGTAATTTATAAGCCTTATGCACTGATAAAAGTCTAATTCTAGTATGTGAGAATAATAATAAAGACAAATCAGCAACTGTCAACGTGAACATGGCTGCGAAAGCTTTCACCTTCCCACTTACTTAGCTCTGCACGGGTCTTGATAAAATCAAACCCATGTTCATTTGTACAGTGAACAAAAAGATCATTTGCAGACGAATAAAGATTCTCGCAAAATAAACATTTTAAATCTGAATGAATACATTCTTCTTCCCAATCATCCCACCTTTCGTCTACATAAACGAATCAATTGCTGTTTGATCGAATGAACAGACGCTTTCTAACAAAATAGGCAAGTTTTTACCATTGGGGTCATATTCGGACTCTGTAGGTTCCGAATACACTGATGAATCTCTCTCATAATTTTCATATGACATTTTCGTATATCGATTCAAAGAGGACGTTCAAAAAATATATACAAAGGAAGGCAGTTGAATAGGCAAATTTTTTTGAGCGCCTATATATTGCCGGTGGGATCATCATAACACGTGATCGAAGAAAAAAAAGGACTTTCAGTTGTATCAATCAACCGAGAGAATATAAGAATCACGCTAACAAAACTGATTTTTACCTTTAACGTTTGAAGAGACTAGTTTTTTACAATGAACTAACATTCTCACCACAATTCTCCATTGTGTGTCTAGAATAGTAATCATGTCACATCTGTGAACAGAATGTTGGACATGTGATTATGGTTATCTATTATTTCCGCTTTCAATAGTGTAAGACTTTATTTCCAAGCTATATATACATGCTAGAGCTCGTTAAACATTTTCGCTGTTTCAAGTACTAACGCGCTGCTCCCAAAGTCGAAAGTAACACGGTTGATGTAATAACTCGGCGAGATTGTTTTGCTCATTCTCTCACAAAATGATTGGCACTAATATTCACACTATGTTAAATGCTTATTGCAGTTAAGACGTGTTTGTTATGTATCTCGAAATCGTGTCATCTAATTTCACTATTCTTAACGCAGGCGTCACTGAATAAACTACGCAGCATTTTATACATGACGGTTTTGTATTAATATCATGGAATGTGCGATGTGAATGCCGAATAGTTGCACTCAATACAGTTAATCTACCGCGGACAATTGATATGATGACGTTAGTCATTTTGCTTTGTATTGCATCAATGTCTTGGGGCCAATTCTTAAGCTTTCAATTCGCCCATTTCTTACTAATAACCCGTTTGAATTTTGAACTAAAATTACAATATAAAAATTGGTTCAAATAAGTTGTCTATTTTCGATCATATGTTTCCGTGCATAACAAAAATTCGCGTTTATATTACTGAAGTTACTTTGGTTACGGATCAACATTAAAACAACGTTTTGTTCCCAAAAAAAAACACGCTTCAGTCACGTTGCCTTCTTCATAATAGAAGAAATAGAATAATATAATTATATTATTTCACTTAATTCAATAATGCCAAATTGGTCTTCTATATTAATATCAAAATCACATTTTGCGGAGTAGGGGGTACATTGCTACCGTTCACCTGCTTTTATGCACACAGCTAGAAAAGTATGCCTTGCATGATATTTAAAAAAAAAGTATCTATGCTTAGTTAATCATTCAAGTTCCATATCTGCGGGTAACCTCAGCACATCGCGAACAGTTTTTCCTTCTGTCCGTAGCACCTCACGATCCATTTCTTTCAATAATGCTTCTTGATTAGTCATCTCAGCCTGGTGGAAAACCAATATTTGTTTGTAAAAAGAAGCATTTGAATATCAAAAATTTCCACATGTTTTAATCTAAAACTTACATGAAAGATGGACATCATTCCAGAATGGCATTATACTTGCCACGACTACTGAACGTAAATGGCAGAACAGCCGTGGCGAGTTCAGTTGCAAAGAAGCGGCCATCTTCGAGCATATTCATAGCATACAAGGTCATACGCGTCTCTGAAAGAGGGGAAAGAATGAGCAATCTAATAATATACATAATTCTGTATTCAGTCTCTTTATTAACAAAATTACACACCAATTACTTGAGTCGTGAAAACTTTCAAACGTGTTCCCAACTCAACTTTGCAGTCCAGATGGTCACGAAGCAGCATTACAAGGTTGAATATGTCAGTCCTGATTGTCTTTTTAGAGTCCCCACAAGCGTGACGAGATGTGGAATTCCACGGTGGACCCGCTACTTCCATATGCCACACATCACGATTATCTGAGAAGCGGGTACCCTTTGCGTCTAACTTTACGATGCCAGAATTTGATGAGGTCTTCATAATTTTTGGTGCACGGGCATGTGACTCTATCCACTCGAAAGACATTGTTGCAAAAGTTGTCTCGTAATATTTAAACAAGGGAGCGATATGATATGTAATGAACGTGCGTTCACCGATATTCCTCGGCCTCGATGGACTGATGTCCACAAGATAGAAACTGTTATTTATAAGTATGTCACCTTATATTGTTGGCAGACTTTCAGCACAACTAGCAAAAACAGAACTAAAAGAAACTTACAAATCAAGAAGCACCTTTTCACAATAAAGATGGAATGTGTCATCCGTATTGATATTAGCACACAAGCTCAAGACGGCTGTTTTGAATTCGCTGCTAGTTTTCTGTAAAGGAGCAAATTAGGTCAGGTGACTGGAACTGCTGACCAATTTCAGAGTGAAAGAATGACCTCCAATATATTTTTAAGCTTTTCGTCCAGAGCAGATGTCCATGGATATGTACTTTTAGACCGTAGAGACCCGACTTCGTGAGCCAGTTGCCTTCCCACTGTCTCCTCGAGCTGCTGGATGGTCATGCCAAAAGCACAAACTAAAGGCAGCTTGTCTGTGAATCTGAGAGACATATACAATGGAAGGTTGAGTATCCATATTAATATTCAACATAGAATGCAAAACAACGCAACATAATGATGTACCGTTGGACGTTCTCATTCTCAAGTGGCCTTTTGTGAGGAGTTGTTAGTAGCACTTCTGTGGCCAACGGAATTGGGGGTGGTGTTGTCTCTCGTGATTTCTGTGCACTTTCATGGCAAGGTGGCCAGTGGTCTTCTTGAACTGTAGTTTCCACATTCTGTGAATAATTCTATGAATTGAAAGGTCAATTCAAGCTTGATAAAACAGAAATAGATAACAAATCAAATGACAGTAGCACTTACAGCAGCAAATTTACGACTGGAATTCTTAACCACAACTGTCTTATCATTTGAAACACTGATTTCCACGTTTGTCCTGTACCTGTTCTGTAGTATGTGCCAGAATTAATAGTAGTATCGTCTGTCATAAAAAAGTCACCAAATATACCAACCTCAGAATATTTAAGGTCTTGCGATTCAAAGATCTGCTTGACCTCAGGTCGCCTTTCAAATATTGTCTTGACAGATGTAAAAAGTTTAAACGCTTTCCTGCGGGCGGCTTGAAGAGCGTTTGGGTCGTCAGCAATCATTCGTAACTTTTGCGTTATATGATCTTCTATTTCCGTTGCGCTTTCGCTGGAGAATTCGATATTCTCTGACAGATATCTCAGAATGTCCTCGACGTTCCATTTTGAATGGTTAACCGTTTGCAAATAATGTGCGATCTCTTTTTCGAAATCCATCTGTAAAATGTATATTAGTAGAGAACACATTGGTTAGAGATATCTCAAACTGTAACGCCCCCCTCAAAGAGAAACTAAATCTGAGTGAACTGGCTTGACATAGTGCTTTCTGGTAAATACTGGAAGGAGTATGCTGCAGTGAGGATGTTTGTCGCAGGACAAGCATGCGTCAAAGAGGGTATCCTCGCAATATCTACCAAGCATCGGCTGCATGGGGTCATCGCAAAACATTATTGTTTAGCTCGGCCAATGCAGAGGTAGGAAACACTATGTCCAATATACTAAAGACAAGACGAAGAGGTATGCTACAGTGAGGATGTCGCGGGACAAACATGCGTCAAAGAGGGTACTCTCGCACTCTTGTCTCTAAACAGCGAGCCGCAGGGGTCATCACTAAGCGTGAATGCCTAGCTGTGCCATACGGTAAGCCGGATATTGTGTGCCGCCAGAAATAATCAGAGTTTTTAACTTTCCTTCGTATACTGGTCGCGTGCGTGAAGCCAGGAATGCGTCACACGGAAATAAACGCGTATTTTTTTGACCATTACACCAGTTTGATTTTGCAGAATGCTCGAATGCGTATCTCGAAATCTGATTGGTGTAAATCCTAAGAATTTCAAAACGGATGTATAGATCTAGCGTTGCGATAAGAATCAAGACTAACAAGCATATACTTTCAGAATCCACCGGGATCCACACGACTTTGAAAAGCTGTTTCTTGTCATTTCAACGTTTTAGAATTATGCTTTGTTACACAACAACAGTTATACCAGAATTCTACCTTGCGTATTTAATTCTCTTTCGAAGAAGACTCAGTTAGGACCACGCGCGACTAAAGAGAATCAAAATGGCGACATACGTCTGCTCGTGCAGCAGTGAAAAGTCTAACAAAAATGGCTAAGTATCTATCTGAACTATCCTCATCGCTTGACTCTTTAGACAAGTAGTCTATATTAATATGTGAACGACACTACAATCAGGAGATAGTTAAAGAAACAATTGACTAAATTGGATGATTCAAGTTTTTTCAGATTCGAACGAAGTAGAACGAGAAGAAGAAAGCTTACTGGTAATAACATGAGATGCAAGTTCGTGAAAAAGCTTTCTTGATTTCGGAATCCAAGTATCTATGTAGGAGCTAGTGCTTCATTTTCTAATAACAGCTGTCTATTAGCACCTTTCAATTCGCTACTCCTTCTCAAAAACGTTTCGTACGCTTAAGGTTGGTATGGAAAAATTGAGAATGGCGCAGCGTAATGTATATGATGACATAATGACTTTAATGAAAATCAAGAGCGATTTGGTTTAGACCATATAACGATTGCATTAAGGTCTGTAAGTGACAAGTTGATTGGAGAAAGACATTGTAACTTCACATTCTAAACCTTCAGAGGTCCCACGATTGCTATCGATACTGGAAGAAATCAACAAAACGCTGAAATTGTTAGCTTTCTATATAACGGCATTTGGAGATCATTTACTAACCTTTTTAATATAATAAGATATTCTGAAAACGAAACATGGCGAATACTGATAATCGTGTTTTTCAAAATATAAGCGGAGGATGGATGCTAAGAAAGTATTTGGCGAGATTGCACATGCAAAAGAATAGATTTGTTTAATCAAGAAGATCCCTTTGTTGAATAAATCCCTCAAGATATTAATATGTTATCTGAAAATAGTATCACTATTAATAATAATATAGAAGAATTTATTAAAACGGCACGTGACTATCAGATTATTCCATGGCGTCCTGTAATATAAACCTGGAACTTTCCAGAATTTTTTATTAACATAAAAAGTGCGATCTGCATTGACCAAATTTGGTAGAATACCTTTCTCGACAAAGCGACGCGCTAATGAATCTGATGCGATGAGTATACTACATTTGCTTGGTATCTGTTAGTTTAAAAACATAATAATATTGAGTCTATTACGTATCATAAGGTAATAACCTGACGTTGATAAACTTGCTACATAGCAATCAAAATTTTTTTTGAACTATTAGAAGACATAAAAGTCAAGTTCGAAAAAAATCAAACGTGTCTTCTTTTTTAATTAACAGGACACAGGAAACTGAGCAAAGTTAATATTGCATTGCACAAATCTATTAATTTTATTTCTAGCGCCAATAGTTTATTCATTAATTTGTTTCAACGCTGCGGCGTGGTGGCGTAGACAATTTGGTTGTCCAAAACAATTTACTCTTTCAATTAGTGCTTGAAGAATGAGAAGAATGTTAAAAATATTGCGCTAGAGTGTGAAGTGGGCCATTAGAGACTGTGAATAAACATGTAACTTTTGGCGCTAAGACATATAAGCCTTTGGCCTTTACACAGACTTGGGAGAAGCCCACCGGGCATTCCTAGCCTGACGCATAGTCACCACTTAGATAGTTGTTTTGACACGTAACCCTATCTCTATAACAAACTCAATTATAAACAATAAATTTGCCTTTAAAGATAACTTTATGGCTCATCTGTAAATCATTATTATAATTGGGGCAGACTGCAAAAATAACAAAACCAGACAAAATGAACATTTTATTATGTGACATAAATGTGAGGCTGATGTGGAACTAATTAGCAGATAAAATTTTTGGTGAGCCTTCAGACTATTTTTTAGTAATATTTTAGACATTTCAACTAAGACCTTTAGCTTTCAATATAAACCTATGGCTAAATCAACAAGTTATATTTATTATAAGCGAACGCGACTAACATTCGTGTATAAAGCAAGATGATAGATAAATTTACGTTTACCAAAACAAAACACTTACTGTGACATGTTTTTATACAAAAAGATTGTATCAAAACATTTGCATTTTAAAAAAAGTTTTATTCAATAAAATAGTTCATTATAAAGAACAAAAGCTTTTATGTTTTTGCTTTTCCTCACTTTGGTGCTCATGGCCAAGAGCAGCTCACATGCAATTTTACAATTACATGCTTCTTTTGTATACTGACAAACTCGATGGTATTGAAAGGAGCCTCTGCGAAATAGGAGATAATCTCAAGCGGTTCAAACCAAATGATAAACATCGTTCTCCAAAACCAATCAAGTCATACGAGGGACACTCTGGGACAAGTTTAAAAAGCTCGTTGATGTAAAGAGAAACTTGACAATAGTAGCCTGTCCGAAATGTATTGCAAGATTAAGAGTGAGGTGACGAAGGCCCTGGAAAGGACACCATTGGAGTTTTTACATTAGAGAACTGTTACTATTACAAACAGAAAACGAATCCTAAACCAATTGATAACGTCTTGGGTAGAAAACGAGAAGAGGGGCGAGAAGAATGGCGGAAGTTAATAGCTTTCGCGAATCCAAAGTATAGGGACAGTTATCATCTTCAAGGGCCGACCTTGCAAGCTCGCGATTGTTTTTCTCGTGTTCATTGTTTACTAACACATAGACACAGTCTCAAAGACAAGTCATACAGGGTGACGATGAATACAGCAAGGGTCGTCAGTACAGTTAGCTCCAATTTGTTTCAACAAGCAATTTTACAAGCAACAGCAAACGGAATTACAGTATATTCACGATGTGCGATATATTTAATGTATTACGCAATTGATGTTCTAAATAATAATAAACGTAAACAGTATTCCAGTATTTAAAACCTGTAATTGATAATTGTTTTGTAACAATGACAGCAAATTTTTAAAACAAAAGTGACATTGTCCTTGAAGCAACGAATTGTACAAAGGAAAAGACCTGTATTAGCGTCATCCTAAAGCAAAAGACATGTATTAAGCGTTATCTTAAGCAACTTGATATAAGAGGTTAGATCGCATTTTGCCTACGCATGAATTAAAGTTATCTTTTCAAGTGGTCAATGCGGAGTAGCGACTCCCAACTTTCTGCATTGGGGCTGGGGGAAAAAAGAGATAATTGTTCTTAGATTGTCTATGGACCCTGCCCAATGAGAGATGGAGGAGAGAAAAGAAAAAGGCAATTAATTTGTAAGCTCACTCGGGTGCCCCTTCACATCAGTTGTTTTGAACAAGCTTAATTTAATTAGTTTCACAGCATTAGCACAAGGTCTTGTGACATACCGCTCGGTAAAAAGTTGTAAAAAAAAAAAGACGAGATTATCGTATCTGTGATGTCGTGCTACATGGTCCATGAATAGCAGTCATAGTTTGGGAATTAAAAAGTTTGGCAATTTGTTACACTAGCAGATACAACGATAATAGATACTCAAAGGGATAATGTTATTGCTCGAAGGGATAATGTTATTGCTCGAATGGATAACGTTATTCGCGCAAGGGAACCAACAAAGAGAATGTAATTGGGTTAGCATCGGGGAAAACTGGACCCAAATATATTTGTTTAAAACTTCAGTGATCAGATACTGCATATCTGTAATGGCTTGTGCGCTGCCCGTTAGAAATTTGCGGGGCTGAGAAAGAGAAACAGAAAAAGGGGGAGGGTTAGAAGGAGAACAAGGAAGAGACAAACTCGTGAATTCTGATCTGTAATAGAAGGTTCGAAAATGAATTTGGTCAGAAACATTATTTTCAAAACACAAGCAACTTGCTAAATCAAGCGTTTGTAATATAATATAAATTTCACATGAACGAACCGCTCACGGTTTATTTTTAAATTCTCATATCAGTTTCCATATTAATAACAGATTGGGGACCCATAACAATGATCTGCCTAAATTAAATTGATTGGAGACGCCCAGCATCTGCGCAACGTTGTTGTGTGTGAATGCACTCGACGTTCCAAGTAGAACATGACTATCAATGCACCTCGTGAAGGACGATTTTCACGACAAGCAAGTATCACATGTTATATTATTTTATCGCATGTAGAGTTTTTTCCCAATCCAAAAAGAACATGGTCTTGGGAATGTCCAGCAAGGTTTCATTCGAGATATTCTTGGGCAGGGATTGTTAAGACGGTAAAACTCTATTGATAATTGATTTACACGGTTAGACGGTACATCAACCCGCCCGAAAACAATGATTTCTTGGCATTGTTGATAGCGCCATGGGAAGATATGTCTTACGTAATAAACATTGACAGCGCTAAGAAATACTGTTACCTTTTTTGGCATCACAAATCTTAACTGTGAAAGTTTATCAATGTCCTTCCCCAATCATTCCCAATGACTTTCCAAATCGATGACTGGTTAACCTAATACGACAACTCATTGGGTCAAAAAAAGAAAAGATATTACGCCCTAATCATAAATGGAGGGAAAATGTAATGGGGAAGTGGAAGGGGGCATCGCGCGCTATTGGAATTCTCAATAGCATGTTACCATCTAATCGACATACATATCCATCGTCCGGCAATTTCTTAATTAATCTGCCAGCTGTTATTATTGTTATTACTGTATTATTGATTGTCATGTTTATGCAGTCCCCTCTTTTTTTCATTGGTTTGTGTTTCATTAATCAACAATTCTTATTTAAAGTCTAAAGTCGGATACCCGACCACTTGTGTAGTACACATTCTGTATGTGACACTGTTTCTGCAAGTCGTTTATGATACTGTTTTCTCAACTTGGATTTGATTTATTTTCGCTCCATTACTATTACTTGTTGCGGTATGTGGGAAAATATGGAATTATCCGGAAATGCTCGGAGTTGACTAAGCAAAAGCGAATAGGCAAGAAGGTCTGCATAGCTGGATACGGGAACATGCCTTCTATTGTCGTCCTCGTGCAATGGCGATTGTAACAGGGGTCGTACGTCATAAATTTATGCTGTGCATGTTGTCATCATGCATTACACATTGTTTGCTTTACCATTTAACCTTATAATCATAGTTCCCCGAGTATTGTCTCACGGACTGGGGTCTTCGGAAATAAGTAACTTATACTTCCAAAAATAGTCAGCCAGCCACAAAAGGGTACATTCTACTGGAAGACCGTGTGAATTTGGTGTAACAAAGCGGTCAAATATATTAAGATGTATTAAAAAGTGTATGCCCTCATCGATTTCTTTTTGTTCACGTATAACTCTTTTTTTTTTTTTTTTTTCTGCAAAGAAAAACATCATTTCACAACATTCCACAATGGCACGACTACAAGTTAATCACGTAAAGAGCGTAGCAAAGATGTTACTTGCAAAGAAAAGGTATGCTTGGAAAAAAAAAGAAGAGATGGGTTGAGAGTTTTTGGGTGGCAGAGGAGGACTACACAAGCTGCGCACTCGGATATCACCGTCAAACCGCGAATGCGTATCCGTCACGTCATCACGATTTTCAAAAATGTCCAACAACCAACTCTACAGCAAGCAAGGCGCTCAGTTGTTTAATGTCAACACACACTTGTCAACAAGCAGATGTTATCTCTCAATGTCAACAACAAGGTTACTTTGCAAGACTACTCTAACCAACGCAGCGACGACATTGTTTTTCATATTGATCAAAACGCAGCAGCAATCACTTATCACATAACGCATTCAATGTTTTGTTTCTCCTTCTCACTCGTCACAACCTAATCATTATTACTTTTCGATGCTTCATCCAGCTCGAAAAACACAGTAGCCCAAAGCTTTGGTCTATGCTCAGTCTGTTCACATGCTCTCTCTACACCTACTTGGTGTCAAAGCTGTCAAGCCGCTTATTTTCAATCATTTTTTTCGACCTGGTCTTCATCATCACCTGCTCTCAACACTCTCATCCAACAATCACAACTTAATGCACAACATGAACATGATTATGTCGAGTGGATCAATTATGACAGAATCGAGCAAGTTCGACTTCTTAACAAGGGACATTTCGGTGTAGTTTATAAAGCAATATGGCTCGATGGGCCGAGAAAAGTATGGGACGAGAAAAAAGGGTGGACGAGATCGGGATGTACTAAAATTGTCATGAAAGCACTGAACGATGATAATAACATGTCGTCATTCGATGAAATAATGAGAGAGGTGAGTGGATCGACTAGAAAGTTATTCTGGATCACGGCGTTGTCGTTTTGGTTTGCTGACGGACACTATTTTCTTTTACAACAGCTCGACACTAACATAAAATGCTCATCTCAAGCACGAGGAGTATTGCGTTGCTACGGCATAACCAAAGATCCCTCAACCGACACATACATGCTAGTTCTCGAATGTTGCGCCAACGGCGATTTACGTAAATTTCTTCAAACATCCTTTTCCACACTCGACTGGCCGACCCGCCTGTCCATTCTTCACTCGATAATAAGCGGAATACGCATAATACACGACAAGGGATACGTCCACCGCGACATACACAGCGGAAACGTGTTCATCAAAGCAAATCTCACCGCACTGGTAGGCGATCTCGGCCTATGTCGATCTGCCGACGAGCCATTCGCAAAGGCAAAAATCAATGGAATATTACCGTACATTGCGCCCGAGTCTCTGATCGGTTTCGGATTTAGCAAGGCGTCCGACATATATGCGTTTGGGATATTAATGTGGGAGCTGTCGACCGGGACGACTCCGTTTTCGTATCGCGCATACGACGACGAATTGTCCTATGACATTTGTAACGGAACGCGGCCTCGCATTCAAGTCGGTACGCCGTCTCGTTATATGCGATTAATGCAGAAATGTTGGGCGGAGGATCCGGAAGTGCGACCTAGTGCAGAAGAGGTGTGCGCGATTATTGAACAATGGTTGCATGAGGATGGGGCGAAGCAAGTGGAAGCGTGTGAAGAAAAGATAAAACCGAGTGAAGAAAAGATAAAACCGAGTGGTGGGTGGATGAATAGGATTAGAAAGCGTGGGTGTGGTGTTAAAGTAGCAAATGATAATATGTGAAATGAGTTAGAATGTATTTTGAAATTGCTTTGTTTATATTTCTATATTCATTTGGGGAGATGTATTAGTAATGAGTCATGTGCAGCTGTGAAAGGATTGTAATAGCCATGAGATGTTGTATTGTCAATATTAGTCATATGGTTGATTTATTATTGTCTTGCTTTTTTTTTTTTTTTAATATTTGTGATGTATATCAATTTTTTTCGAGCTCCTAGTTTTTCAAATGATCCTTTGTAAATAACAGTTTTTCCTTTTTTCCTGCTTGTTAATTGGAATAAAAAACATGCTGAACAAGTGTCACGCGAATTTACGCAGTAACATAAATCACTCCGCCACCACGTTTTGTCGATCCGCAACTATAACTTTGTGTGTGTGTGGGGTTAGGGTGGGTTCGACCGCAAATATTTATTACTATATACGGGACAAAGTTTTATCGTATCGAATTGGACCGGTTAAATTCGGATAAATTTGTTTCTACGGCACCGGCTAAACACAATCTTTTCCTTTTAAAAAATTTCTATGTTGAGTAGTAACGCTGGCCATCGCGTCGGGTAATATTTTAGGACCTGATATTCAATCATCGCAATCATTGTTGAAAGAAAAGACGGTACGTTTTAGGCAAACTCGTAGTATGGCCGATAGGATGTTTGAATTCTGGTCTTTTTTGTTTCGCTTTTACTTTTAATGTTTCTCGGCTTTGGTTGCGTATTTCCCTAATAGTCATTTAGTATATATTACATGTATTACAGGGAATATAATGAATTCCTTGTTGTCAGCGTCCCTTGCATAATATAATCAATGAGAATGCGGTACACTTGTTATACTAATATAAAAAAGGCGATTGCACAACGATCTTAACTTGTTATGCTTTTCTAAATATAGCCATTCAACCTTTGACTATGAAGAAAACCGTAAACATAGTAATAATAATAACAATAACAACAATAATAAAATATAACGTATATCCATGGATCCGTATTTGAACCCTGCCAACATACTGCCAAGTAAATGGGTTAAAAACACTGAACAAACAGTCTTTGTGTTACACACATTCTAAACTTCCTGTGGCCTTGATAAATATAAATAGAAATGAATATAATAGTCTACGTGATGACTGCGGTTGATATACAAAATATTAGTCAGACCAACGCGTGTGCGCCACGCACTGCTGACCCGTCCACGGGATCGCCATTCAATTTTTCACAACGAATAAATTAGGATACTCGTCGGACAAATATAAAAGCAGAGCTATTCCCACCATCCACGACAATTTTTTTCTTGTAAAACCGAAACTATCACACCACCATGATTAAAACCAAGACTAGAAAACTTAGGAAATATCTTAGACGGATATTTGCACGTTTGAACTTGTAAGTGATCTACTAATTCATTAATCATTAATTAACATGAACCGAATAGCAATTAAGCTAATCTACTATTATCTTATAGCAGAAAACATCAAAGACGACAAACGTCTTTTTCATCGATATCCCTAGAAGTATCAGTGCACAATCCAGACACTGGACAATCTCCAACCTCAAACAAGCGACCAAATTGTGTCGATATTAGACGACGCAATTCGATTATTCCGCTTGCTAAACCGCACAATTCGGATGCATCTCGTTCAAAATTATCGATACACACAAAGCCGGAAACAACGCAACTTTTCGGCTCGTCTACTCTAAAGCGGGCTTGGAGACGCCCACCCAGTCCTCCATCATACATGCTTGTTGTACCTGACCCTGCCGATGTCTTTATACCAGTAATAAAACTCACACCCGTACAATGTTCATGTGGCTGTTCCGCTCAGCATGGGTACAGTCCGACGGATGTGCAGGAAATCAACACAAATTTCCTTGATCCGTATTTTCAAGTTAGGAAACAGAGAAATGCCACCAGAAAGACTCGATCAAATGATGGTATTCAACAATAAGAGACATTGAATGAACTATTATTATCTAGACATTCGATATTAAGATATATATATTTCTATACATACGATGTTCTAATCTTTGTATTATATATAAGATAATTTATTATTATATGAGATGAAATGGACATTTTACAATATAACGTATAAGTAAAGGTGCTGGTGACATTATAGTTATTTTGTATCTTAAAAGTAAGCAAGTATCGGCGAGCATGGTTTCTTAGAACAACCCAATATACATAATTTACATGCATTACAATAGTTTTAATAAAATTGGGTCATAAAACAAACGAAACGTTGTGGCATTGTCATAATTGTAAATGTTGTTTATAAACAGACGTATAATTAGGGTTCTCGCTAGCCAAATAAATTTAGTCGCAGCATGCATGAATGGAATGAGTCAATGTGCATTGATGTAAGTGTGAGTAATACTAGAAAGGGTGAATTATTTGAGTCAGCCCTTTTGTAATGTCTAGTCTTTACCCCGGAGATTCAGCCTGTTTATTGTGAAGGATGTAACAGAGAAAATTCTGTGGCAAGTTGGACCAAACTTTTGAGAGAATTTAAAATACATTTGTTACTCCGAAATAAAAATAAGTGGTGTCTCTCAAAATATCGTTTTCATTGGTCAAATTCGGCCTGGTGAGTTTTATGGTGAACGCCACTCATACAAAAAAAATTGTTTTACAGCCCCGTTTATTATCAATTTTCGATGGTAGTACGTAAGGTGTACATGGCATTTGTTTCGTTCTACCTTTTATGTAGGCAGACCAATACTATTCTAGTCATCATTATTACTCACCCAAAATTGATCACAATGCTGAAACGGGACATACAATAAATGGGCATCTTTTTGAGGGTGGGGGGTGACAGTCAATTCTCTTACTCATAATGTCTCTTTACGACAAGTGTCATTAATTAGGATAGTGTCACAAATACTTATGACCTAGTCATGCATTAATGACGAGCAGTCGACAGATAAACGAGGATAAACAATCGAAAATAGCCAACAAACGCAAATAATTATAGAACGAGTATACGTAATCGTTTGCAAAATATCAGAGTGGACTACTGTTGTCATTTGCGTCTTGCGTAAGATTATGTGCTAATAAAAGAAATTTGCTATTGAAGAACCTGAAAAGTAATCACAATGAAACAAGCAAAAAATGTTCAAATAAGAAATTGTCATTCTGAATCAATTACAGTGTCATTGCTTTTCAAACACCTTTGAAAAAACATCTTGCATTATCCTTATACGGATAACTATTTATATCTGCTATTTCCCCCGTGCTAAGAATTTTATTTCTAAAAAAGTCAAGATTTACTAATTGCCAAGGAGCATTGCAACACAACTGTTTCAGGAATTATATTTCTTTGAATCGTATCCAAATTATTTCAGCTGACACACACGCCGCAGTTCTTTGAATTCTAAACCTGTTGTTGTGTAAAGTTATTACGTTACTTTATTTACTGTGTTGCATTAACACAGTGTCAGCGTTGTTACTTCTAACATGTTCACAGTACACAACCATACAGTAATAACGTTTTGGAATGTATCCAGATAAAGTAACGATGAATTCGATATGTATGCATCCAACGAGCTCTCACTTTACAACCACTCAACATGATAAGTTTCACTTATTTCGTATGCTCTGGGTTCTAAAGTTTGTCAGATGTCTTCCTGATACTCATTTATTACTGTGTACATTGTATGTGATAGAATGTCGCGCGATATATCAGTTTATATACAGACACGTGTATGCCAATATCTCATTATTAATATTGGATTGGCGATCTCGGCGAGAGTCACATGCACACGATTTTTAATACGATCTTAAAAAGTTAATAACCACTTTCAACATATATTATAAAGTCAACGGTACCGTGTATTAATTATTCCGAATTGGGATAAAGTGCGTCATTATTTACGCGAAGCGAAGAACAACAAAAACGCTTGGCGAGGTGCAGACAACTTTACCCAACATTCCGATTCCGTTTCTACTGCCAGTGATTTTTGAATTTACAGTTTAAAAGTACACAGCGTTGAATAGCGTCATAAGGGAATTCAATTTGAAGCTTTCTGAAAACAACCATCATAATTACAATTATTTCGATTTCTAGATTGTCGTTTTAATATTTTCTTCTAGTAGTGCAATTGAATTAAATCAAACCTTCTATTAATTACATTTAACCAATTGCACTCGCAATTGTTGCAAGTGTAAATAGAAACCCTATAGTAACAAGCCATTGTCTTGTAGCAATATTCTTGTAAGCATCAGTAATTTCTTATATGCATCTGTCTATACACATTCTCGTGTCCCATCTTAATTCAATCCCTCTTTTATAATATTCCTAAAAGTCAAGCTTACCCTTCTACCTCTAACGATCTTTTGATCGCCTAAATACTCAATCTCGTCTTTTGATATCGAATGCTTATAGTCAAATCGGGATGACTTGGCCATTACTAACAGTGATCTTTGGGCTAAAATAGGTAAGAATTCAAAAAGGACTTGGGTCATATTCATTTTCGCATGTAAAACGAGGATTCATCATAGCTTTGAGACATCAACTTACGTAACAGCACTTTAATCTCATCTTCGCCTTCTTTCTCAAATCGCATCAAACAAGGGGACAAGAGAGAGAGCGACAATATTGTCGGACCAAAAAGCGATACAACGTCCGTGTGAGGCATTATGCCTAGTAAATATAGCAGGTATTACGTCTTGGACTGAATTCATCGATTCAAGATGGAGCAAGTTTGAAAAAATACCTTGTTTCAAGTTGTATTCGTTTACGGTACACATATCAGGTGGAGTTGCAACTATATCCTCTGACACAAGACGGGACAATATAAACGAGAGCATCGATGGAAGCGGTCCCATATACCGAGCATTCCTAAATGACGAGATCAGTAAGGGTTTGAAATATAATATCATTACGCCGGGGGGGGGGGGGGGGGGAGGGACTGAAATATTACCTATATCGATAACTGAATTCATATCCGTAATGTTGTGAGCGTCGTTTCATCTCTGGGTTGGGACTAAGGAACGATATACGCTTTACGTTTTTAGTTTGACAAGAAAACAGCAAACGAACAGTCTACATACTTTGCATTATTGATCAAACTTACGGGAGGCCATTACCGCCCCATTCTCGCTTATCTATTTCATTTATCAGTTCAGACTCCTCTTCGAGAGTTATAAAGTTTTCTATTACACGCAATCCATCAATTGATCCTGTTGACATTGTACAGTTAAAAGAATGTCGCTCCCGCATCAAAAATCATGTTCTTGCATTTTCATTGGACGCGAATGATATGCAGCAGACTTTGGAATCCAATTCGTTGACCCCTACTACTGACACATTCAGTTTAGACTGTTACCAGAATAATTTCCTAAACGGGATTTTTTCATTCAAGTTTTTCCGTTTTATGGTTAGCTGACAATGTGTTATTTATTGGTCACGAAACAAATCAACTTGAGAGAAAGTTAACATTCTTTCCTCGTTATTTTTTCAAAACAAGACGTAAACGTTACTATCGAATATCAAAGGTTTTATAAATAATCCTAATGCAAAAGTCCCGAGACGGACTAACTCAAGTTCAAGTAAGTTGTCTTTTTTCGAAAATTCTCTCTTCGTTACATTGATTATTAAGAAGCACCACAGTAAAACAATAACATATACTTTCGTGCGCGCCGCGCGCAAACCTTTTGGTCTGTAGACATACCGTTAACGATCGCAATGATTTGATAATCAGAAAGAATGAATTCATAAAACAAGTCTGCTCGAGATCGGAGGACTGCTGCGTTACTTATTGTTACTTCCTTAATGGGGAAGCGTCGGCTATGACCAGGTCACCAGTAGCTTGCCTGCCGGGATCGGACGGGTTTCACTGTATAAGGGCCTGCAACCCGAACGTTTCTTTGTTAAAGGGGAGACATTTTACAGTCGCACAGTATCACCAAGATCGAAATGCATTTTAATTTCCAAAAATCATTGTGATTATTGGATCTCATTCTCTAGTCTTTACATCAACTCCCCTTTCCCCCCTTTCCATCTCTCACTCTCTCTTCGCCCTTTCTCGCCCGAACAACTATGCCCCAGACATCAATACCGACCCTAACCCCGACTAGCAGCGGCACAGACCAGCTTTCATCTCTTACACCAGACAAGTTGAAACTTTTGTCACAATTCCGATCCAATCTGCCCAATCTTCTCTCATCCCAAAAACTATCGCCATCAGAATCGACCCTAAAACCGATCACAACGGACATTGCTTTGTATTGCTATCTACAAGGAAACAGATGGTCGTTGGCCGAAGCTGAGAAACAGTGGTTGAAAACCGTTGCCTGGAGAATTGCTTACAAGACCAGCGAGATAAGTCACGAGGATGAGGATGTCAGTAAATGTGCGAGGTTTCGGACTAATTACGTTAATGGGTTTGATAAGTTTGGGCGACCTCTAATATATTTGAAAAAGAGGGCCGATAAGCATGAGAAACATGACTTTGCGGCTGGATTGAGGCTACTAGTTCATTCGGTAAGGATGTAATGATATTATGTGACTCTACCTTATCTTGCCTTACCATGCCTTACCATGCCATAACACGCTCTTAATCCATAAACCACTTTAGCTCGAAACAGCTTTAAAAGTGATGCCTTCTACAGCTCATCAACTGGTCATAATCATGGATTTTACACTCTTCCATCAATCTCACAGCGTTCCTCTTCCTGTTGCCCGCGAAACTCTTACGATTCTATCAACGCACTATCCCGAACGGCTTGCTCGTGCATATTTGGTAAACGCACCGTTCCTTTTACGGTGCTTTCTCAAGTTACTTTCTCCATTTATGGACGAAGTTACTAGAAATAAAATTGTATTCGTCGACAACGTTCCTACAGAGGCAAATATGCAAGACGGAGCAGAAACCAAAAACGGTAAAAGCAAGATTGACCCGATATTAGCAGAATGGATTGATGAAAGTATGTTGGAAGTAGCTTATGGAGGGAACTTGAATTTTGTGTATGAACACGACATTTATTGGAGCTTTGCTGAAGAGAACGGGATCAAGGCTTGGTAATGATCAAATGCAAATTAAAATGATCGTAGACGGGTTAGAAAACTCTGAACTGTGTGAAGGGACTATTTGCGACATAGAACGGGCCTTATAACTGGCCCTCAGAATTTAATAAACATAGAAATTTGTGATCAAGCATATTAGATATTACGTGAGTGGTTGTCAACTTGACAAGGTTTATACGTTATGTCTTTCTTAATACAAGGCTGAAGGTTGTGGGGAATAGGTCTTTGCTTGTTGAAATTTTTCAGCTTATAATGGATACTTGGTTGTCGTGACATATTCCGGCGTTGAGTCTTAATCAACACTGAGCTCGCTATGACAATTAATATGGCAAAGAATTGATATTGATCCAAAGTATATCATGTACAGAGACGGATCTTTTGAATTAAAAAAATGCGAGCGCTCTTTGTCTTTTAAAAATTTAGCGGCTTTCAGTTAGTTATCGATCAACGAGTTCAATTAACTCTAAATTGAGTTATTGGTTCACCAATTGCTATACTATTAGGTAGAATAATTGTTCCTCGATATTAAACTTGATGCAAATACGGTTTTAATAATTCGACAGCATCAACGGACGTTGGCTCGAAGAATTCTTGAAATTGATTGTTTTGAGCAATACCATTATTTTATTTGTGAAGTTTTGTTAGACTTGTAACAGAAAATTGGAACTGTCGACTTATTTTGCGTACTCTTAACGCATCAGTCGTGACATTAATTCATAAGTCTAACCCTCTCATAAATATTTTAATTCCTGAAATGACACGTACATTGAAGTGATCAAATGAGATGATAGAATGAAACGAGATATTAATAAAACGAATGAGACGTACAAAATTGGTGTACTTGGACATTTAATCCATTACGTCAGTAACTGGGATAATTTGAAGATGAGTCAGAGATCAACTTTGCATTACAACTTTAATGTTACTCTTTAATAAAAAATTAATTGGTTGAACCTATCCATTTTCATAGTGATTACAAATACAATGTTTATCTTTGCAATAATTCGATTAATTTTAATTTTACACTAAATGGTGAAAAAAAATTACGTGAATATGACCAATTCTTCTCAAATCCGGTTTGCCCAATCATAAATCGTATTACATCCTCTTGGAAAATAAAAACAATGTCTGCAGTAATTCTGCGATAAATAGATAAAAACAAAAACTAAGAACAATAGATTGCGCAAATTGTTTAACGTGCATGGTAATGTAAAGCTCGTTATACAACAACGTTTGTAAGAAAAAAATGTCGATATTAATAATATACACGACAGACAAGGCTGACAACTTAAGAGCTCTACGAAAGACTACAAGTTAAACTTTTGAGAAAGTTGGTAACAAAAGCACAAGAGCACTGATAAGGTTACAGGAGCAAGTTACTAAAATTAGAAACTTTTTTTTGGGATTAACAATAATAAGGCAGCATTTTAGGGGCAGGTCAGTAGAATCAAATCTAATTTATTTAAGACAATGACCACAAAAGGATAATGCGGAACAAAAGGGGCATAACGTGACTATATTAATACTGTCAATCTTTTAGCTCCCGTTCGCGTCATCTTCTCAATTACAAACTTTTTCGCAAAACAGACAACGACGGTTACCGAAAATCAAACCTATTACGTTATGACACCAAACAATCACGCCAGCGAACGGTAATAACTCTTCCAGAGAAAGCGTAAATAAATGCTGGACGCCTACGAAAGCCGTCGTGACCTCTTCGAACGTAAATTTTTTCGCGACAAACTTTTTTACCCAACAAAACTGGTAAATTTATTGCTGTAATTAAATCGAGTTTCTGTCAAGGTAAACTTACTGTATGGTAAGCAAAACGGGGGGAGGGGAGGCAGTGTTTATCACGACAACGGGCAGCAAAATGGCATGGCGGCAAGGCTAAGCGTACATATATATATTCGGGTGTTTAAATGACAAATAACAGAGTTAAGTGTACGTATACGCGTTTAAGAGACATCTTAGCGGTGGCAAAGTGGCAAAATCAAGTGCACACATATAAAATCGAGGGATAATTTAACGTTGTTATCCATATGCTAATTATTTTTTCTTAGAGTCGATTGTTTGATTGCATCGAACTTTTTCTATTTCTGCTCCTACCTCAACGTGGTGAGCGGGTGACAACGTCTATGAAAATATTTTGAAATTGACTAGACGCGTTTTGATTCACTTTTGTAGTTAACGGCAATGTGAAGTCGAAGGGCTAGATTTGAACTTTATGGT